GAACTGTGAGAAAATAAATATCCTGTGTTTAAGCCACTCAACTAGAGTATTTTGTTATGGCACTCCAAGCTGATAAATACACCTTCCTAGTTTAAACTCTCTAGTGTTTACAATTTAAAGCTTTTCTGAAAGATTTGTAGAATATATCTGCATAACTTGAAGGATATATCAGAAACTAAGGCCATGTCTATAAAAAGCATTCCTTGACATCTAACTAGGTAGATAATAGAAAAATAATTCGTCAAGGCACTTCCTAATCAAGGGAACAAATTAGAATGAATGGTTTTTATTTGCTTGCATGTACTTTTAAACTCTTGAATTTTCATATTCTTTTCAGTATTAAGTAGAAGCTCTCCTCAGGTGAACTAGATCTGGGCATTTTCAGCTGTGGTCAGCTTCTCTTTGAATCCCACTAGGGTTTGGTGATGCAGAGCAAACAAAGCTATAAATCAAATGCAATACATTTAATACTTCAATGCATTACAAAGTGATCTGAAATAGGGGTCAGTTCATATCATTTTTTTTAAGTGAAAATGTCCCCTTCCTCTGAAAGGAAGAAACAAGTTAAAAATAGCAAATCCTAAATTTATAGTATGGCTGCTTATTAGAAAAGACAGAGGCTAGGCTTCTTCAGGTGAGATTCTTCAGTTACTTATCAGGCTGGAGCCGTGGATATTTAAAAACACGTTGTGGCTGGCATTAAATCTGAAATCTTGTGGGCAATTTTTCAAGAAATAAAAGCTACAAACAAAATAGCTTTAGTTCCATTCAGCATGCTGTGGGAAATAGCTAATGGACAAGCATTACTATGACTGGCAAGGCGAGCTGCCAATAAATGAGAGAGCAGAGATTCAAAACTACCACATAACAGCAGCACTTCCTAAGCTTATTTCACTAATTTGTCAAAGTAGGACATTATCTGACGTGAAAGCAAAATGAGGTTGGAGACACACGGGAAGGAACTATTTAAAAGTAAAAGCTATGCTTCTCCTTCTGTTAGTTAGTTACCTCTGTTCTGAGTAATTATGGTTTACTTCTACCATTTCCTGATACCACACTTGGTTTTACTGAAGGCAACATTTTCTCCTTTTCAAATGACAAGTAGAGAGCTATTTCTGGTAGGATAAATTTCCCTTGTTTGCCAATGCTTGTCTTGTCTTTTTCCACTAGGAAGAGATGAAGTTTAGTGGTTGGACAGGAAGAAAGTATGGAGTTCGGATATGCCACCCCTCGGAGAGGCATGGGGGCCATATTCTCTTCCCATTTCTCATTTTTTTTCCTAGAAGAAGAAAAACCTCAAGTGCTGTATCTCATTTTTTCTCCATATTCAACTCTTAACTCTCAACTGTTTCTTATAATTTTAAACAGAATGTTAAGCGGGTCATACCTGCAATCTCTTACATTTTGGAATGGAATGAAAACTATTCCATCATAAAGAAAGAATAAAACACTTAATTGTAATTAAAGCCTTAAATTCTATTTCAGATATGCTTTTTAGTGTAATGGAATAGAGCATGGAATCTGGGGCTGGACTACCTGGGTTCAAATCCTATTTCCACTACTCACTAGCTGTGCAGATTTAGATAAATTAATCTCTCTCTATGCCTCCATTTCCTCATCTGTAAATGGAGAATAATAATAGTTCTCCATCACAGGTTGTTGTACTTGGCAAAGAGAAAACACTATATGAATGTTAACTATTATTAAGATTATTTCAGAAAACTTCTAAAGGGCATTGTTAATCTCCCTACTCTTTGTTAGTACTATTAAACAGTTATATGTAAAACCAAGTGAAAGTTTACCTGCTTTAGGTCACAAAACAATCCCCTTGCTAATTGGGGAAGGAAAAAGGATAACAATGAAATCCTCTCTTCAAAATTAGCCATAACTGCAACTAAGATTCTACCAATAAAATAACTATACACTCAACTTTTAGAGGCAAGACATTTTACTTAAATCTACACACTTCAATGAAAAGAGTCAAATGAATAACACATCAATAATAGCAGCTTATTCTAAAACACTGACATAATTTGAAACATTACTTTATGAACAAAATACATACTTCTGGGGTGATCTGTTATCAACTTCAGCCTTCAGTCGTAAATTCTCCCTCATGAGGCCACCATTTTCCAATTTTAATTTTTTATTTGCCTTAAAAAAAAGAGTTGAAAATAATTAAGCACAAGCTAAAACAAAAGTGCCTTGTAAAAATTATGACATGAGCCATCAGTATTTTTTTAGAGAGTATGAGAAAACTAAATGCTAGGGCATGACCTTCAGAAACTTAAAATCACCACTGGAATGACTTGTGAAGCTGTGAATACAACCAAGCATTTTAAATCTGTATTCCCCCACCACTCTGTAAATCTCCTGTCCAGGGAAATAAAAGGAACTATGTTAGTTAGCCTAGTATAGTCATTAAGGGACTATACTAATGGTATTTTTTTTTCTTTTTTCACATAACTGAACACTCTCAGCAGGGTAACATTATATCATATGCAATTATTCACAAAACTTATGCTGAGTTAATTCTTGACTTTGAGATTGATTTTTGGTTGCTACTTAAAAATAGCTTTTTAGTGATAACAAATCTAATATGATTAAACCACTTGCTTTCTTTCTCCAGAAGGCTTTCCCAAGTGCCCTGACTCATATCTTCTGAGACTCTCAAAATTGAGTTAATATCTTCTAAAAAATTCTATGGATTCTTTTGATTAAAAAAAAAAATTCCAAGTATGACTTTATTTTTTTAATTGCATGGTACCTAAATATTGCCTAACAAAATATTAATTGCTAGAAAATCTACAGGCTCAATATTGATTACAGATAGCTTGAAAAGTAGGGTGCCTAATTTTTAGAGTTTTCTTAAAAGCTAACTCCTTTAAATTCCCTAGTCATTGCATTTTTGAATTCCGAAGAAATATGACTCCCTAGAGTAGAAACAAATTTCACTTATCTAGCAAAAGAAAATCTTTGTTGGACTAGAACATTAGCATTCAAAGTGAATGGGTCACAAGAACTATTGTCAACAGAAAGATTTAAACCAAGACTTAAAAACGGATTTAAAAAATTTGACCAATGTTTTTGACTAATTTCCAGAACCTCTGACTATATTACTTGCCCACCCTCACACAAATGCCCAAGAGAATAATAAGAAAAGCAAGGCAGAGAACATTCTTCTGGGTACAAAGCCTAACTCTCTTATATTCATGCAGGTTCCTCTTGGGCTCTGAGCACCTGTTTATCTTCATAGTTGCACAACCAACCAGGATTGTAAAGGGTTAATTCTTTAAGTGACTGATAAACACCATTACTGCCCCTCTGAAGATATAAGAAAAGTCATTTACTTCCCCATACACACAGACAATGAATTAAGCTCTCAAGCATAGCACCATAAGAGAAGGCACTTAGTAAATGCTTTTTGATGATGATGATAAGCTTAAATTAGAAACTCATTTGAGATTGCTTTTCCCCATCTCATCTGTACTGTATTGTTATATTTCAAGGTCTCTCACCAGTCCTGGGGCTGTCTAATATTCTCCTTATGGGCTGGCTAGTTCCTCTAATATCAGGAGATATTTTCAAGTTCAGGAGGATTGTGGGGGTGAGGGGTAAAGATTACAAAGGGCAGAGTTCTAGATTTCGCATCTAAGAGTAATGAAGTCTTCAGCTAACTTATTTTGCATGCTCAACACTGATTCTGGCTTCGTAATTGTTTAAAACTTACTTAGTACTAAAAACATCAGAAAAAAAGTCTATTTCACTCATTCTAAGTAGTCCTTCACTCTGAATCTTTTGTACTCCTGTATTTGATTTATAGTATGTTATTATTTTGTTCTTCACCTTCAAGTTTTGCCTCTGTAGTCCAAGATTTTTAATTCATTTTTTTTGCTCCAGTTTATTGTCTCTTACTACCTAATACCATCACTAGGCACCCAAAATGGGTTTAGTAAATATCTCAAATAATTCTGAGGTCTCAGGGTAGCTTTGGGTATTGAATTTAACATGTGACCTTTAAAAGAGCAGAGAAAAACTGTTTTATGTGCTTTTCCTTGACATATATCCCCAACACCATTCTTATGAGACCAGAGTAGTTTTTATGTCAAGCCTCATGCTTGTATTGCCAAAAACTTAAATGAAGTCTAATAACTATAAAGGAGACCATGTAGAACTTCCTGATGGACCAAGAAGAGAAAGGGAAGTTAACAAGACATGGCAGATTGATAAATACTGCAACTTCCCAGCTCTTTCCTTTTTGTGTCCTGTTCTCTTCTTAGACAAATCAACATGCTAATGTTGGCCATCAATACCCAAAGAAACTACACATGTCCCCTAAACTTGTGACAAACGTAGCACAATTGTATCTGTAGGTTTTTTTTTTTGTTTTTTGTTCTCTGAAAGCACTAAGCTCCCTTCTTTCTCTTATCTTGGCCTTTTCTGAGCCCAAACAGCATTTATTTTATATGTGGGTATGTGAAAATGTCTTAGTATTTATACTAAGTTGCAGATTCTTCTCTGCTACTTAACCTTACTGAAGATCTGAGGGCCAGTATGTGGTGGTACTTCTTTAAAATATCATACAGAGCTCATCAATGATTTCAGGAGGCAGGATTTAGCAATTCAGTATGGTTACAGTACTTTAAGTGAATTCGCATAGGCTGAATTGGTGGTTGTGGACCTGGATATCAGAAAACCATCCCCATTCAACACAAAAGGACTCCACTGTGAATAAACTTGAAGTCAAACTTGGTCAACAAAGCCATACGGCACTTGATTTTAATCTCTAGTGCTGATTGCATGGATCTCTTGGATCTCATCTCCTTTCCTAGATTGGAAAATCCTAGGTTTGGCTTTTTTACCTATACTTTCTCTATCCTGTTGGATGGACGGAAGAATTGAAGAAAATGAACCCACTTCATAAGCTACAATATTCTTTTGTATGATATAGTCTAAAGAGGCTACTCATAGCTCTCTTGGAATTAAAAATCAGAGAATGGTACTGCTATAAAAGATATGGTCCAAGACTTTCATTTTCAGTTAGGGAAATGGACACATTTGTTTTTATGTATACAGAGCAGTCACTGACATAAGCTTAAAAAAATTAAAGTAAACCACAAAGAGGGGGAAAAAAATACATTCTTTAAATTGATGTCACTCCCCTACAAGATACAAACACATATAGAAGTACTAGAATCTCTAATTATAGTCACAAATGGAACCACCTGATATTTCCTGGCAGCTAATGACATTTAAGGAGAAAAAGATTTCCTATTGCTTAGAAATGTTCATCCAGGGATTCTGTCCTTTCCTCACAAATCATCTAATGATGAGTCAAGATAATATGGCTATTTGTACTTTTGAAGGTACTGAACAATATTACAGAATTTTAAAAATAACTTAATAGAAATTTTAAAACTATAATAGAATTTTAAAAACAACCACAACTTACTTCCTTTAACTTATCCACATCATCTTTTACTTTTTCATATATTTCATTAGCTGTTCTAAGTTTTTTCTTCCACTCTGCTACAGTTTCTGGGTCAATTTTACTTGGATTATCTACAACTGGATGTTTGTCTTCACTTTGGTTGCCCTGTGTGAAGATTAAAGGATCCAGAATAGTCTTGATCTGTGACTCCAAGCTGAGATTTTTACTTTTGAGTTCTTCCATCTCTTTCTGCAGACAATCTATTTCATCCTGAAAAGGCATTGCAAAGCCATTAGGTAGACACAGACACTAAGTACATACATATGCTTACCTGAAGCCAATGATTTAAATTTTATACTAAAAATGCTGTAGATACACAGATTCTTTATGCAACAGAATAGTTTTGTAGGCAGAAAGTCACACACAGTTGACATTCTCGAAATGTATTTTGACTTTAATAATAACTGCCATTCCCACTGCTTTCATTTAAATTCAATGACAGTTTGTGGTTTAAATAAATAAAAATGTTAAACCTTTGATTCAAGATATCAGGGAAACAAAAGTCATGAATTCAACAAGGAAATAGATTCCTCAACAGAAAATTCTAAGGTATGTTTAATTTTTTTTACTGAGGGAAATTAAAAATACAGTGTTGATAAAGATGATCTATTATAGTTTTGTTTGATGTTTATATTTTTGCTTCTACATTTGAAGTAGGAGTTCAAACCCTATACCATTTCCTTCCTCTTTCCACTTCAGAATAATATCTGTAGTTAATTTTTAACTTTTCTACATTCTGATTCTTCAAATACAATCGTGACCATTCCAAGTACTAGATTTCCCCATCTGGAACTGCTTATTATCTTAAATCCAATTATTAAACGTTCGGGTAAAATCCTTTTCTGTGATACCATTTTTTCATCTAAAATGGATTATTTCTTCTTAAATTAAGACTGAAAAATTCTGTGGTTAGAAAATAAACTCCACGTGGCTCAATATGCCAGTGATCTTCTAAAAGATTAATTTGATTAGTACCTAAGTATGATAAATATTCATTAAGTATGTAAGAATACATTTTAGAATTAACACAGAAAGTACTTCTTACTATTTTAAATTACATTACACTTCAAATTAAATAGCATTATAAAATGAGAAAAATCACTATTTGTTTGAATTAATATATTAATAAACAAATATAAGCAGAAAAACACATATATGAATGAACATTTATTCAGTCATTTATTTATGTCCCACTTTATTAAAAAAAATTTTGAGCCAGCTGAAGTAACTTTCACTTATATAGTTTAACTTAAAGATATTTTGTACCAAAAGAAGAGAATAACAATATCCCCACCCCCCACTTTAGTCAACATAAAATGACAATCTGGCTTAATGTTTACTATTCAAAAGTATATCTATTCCATTAGCATGAAGCTAATTTGGAAAAATTTCATCACCATATCAAATCACCTTCACAGAAAGAAAACTACTGCATGATCTCACTTATATATGGAAGCTTAAAAAGTCAAATACATAGAAGCAGAGAGTTAAATAGTGGTTACTAGGGGCAGGGTGGTGGTCGGGAAGTGAGGAAGTAGGAGAAGTGGAGAGATGGGTCAAAGGTTAAAATATTGTTATTATGTAGGATAAATAAATTTAGGGATCTAATATACAACATGATAACTACAGTTGGTAATATTGTGTCGTATACTGGAAATTTGCTGAGATTTAAGATGCTCTCACCATACACACATAAAAAAGTAACTATGTGAGGAGGTGGACATGACATGTTAATTAGCTTGACCGAAGGAATCATTTCATTATGTACGTGTACATCGAAACATCGAGTTGTACACCTTAAATATATACAATATTTTCAATTTAAAAAGTTTTACATGCAAAAAAACAATTAGGAAATACCATATTTCACTCGAAAAATCTCTTTGCTGGTAGTTGACAGAGGCATATTCACTTTTAGAACCAATGAAGCTTATAATTATTGGTGAATTTACAGGCAGGAACAAAAGCAGACTGAGGACTGTAGTCACTATTTACCAGAGCATTCATAATACCTTGCGGGGGTTGGAAGACTGATTTTCACAAGATGGTTTCTTTTATCTCCCAATTTCCTGAGGGAGTAAACACTTACAAAATGATGTGTCTGTTGAGGACAAATTTTAAATTAAAAGAAAGAAAAAAAGAAAATGCTTCCATCTGTTCCTTTCCTCTATTTGAAATAGGAAAGGGAAAAAGAAAAAAGTACTTAACAAATAAGGTGTTTTTAAATTGTCATTAAATTAAGATTTCATTGGATGTGTGCTCTAAGAAGTCCATGGACTGAGATAGCTCAGTTTCACCTTGAATTCAGTGCTGTCATCATTTTAAATTTTAATTATTATTTACCTCATATTCTTTGTGGAGTAACTCAAGTCTAGTTTTCCGAAGGTGCTTACGAACTGTATGGCTTAGCATAGGTTCGCTTTCACTGGTCCCTCCTACAGGAAAAAAAACACAAAACCTAACTTTTCATTCTGATTTGGGCAGAATGAAAATAAAAATGAATCCTTTTCTTATTGTTTTATATAGTTCTCCAGCTTAATTTCTACTTATATATATACTTGGGGCTGCCATCTTGGCCTTTTCTCTATCTCAACCCTGAGAAAAGATAAATATCAAGTAACAAAGAAATATCTTCTGTAAAATATCATGTTGAGTTTACTTACCTATGTATCTTACTATAGTAAACTCAAGGCAAATGCTATATTTTATTAATTATCATATTTGGATTCAAATTTTGAATGCCAAAGCATTGTTAAATAATGATAAAAACTTATTAACTAATGTCACCCCAATAAATTTAATTTAAAAAGTACCATCATATATTATACAGAAGCACTATAATAAAATATATAAGACTATAATATCTCTATATCTTTCAACTTTTGTATGTTATAGACAAAAAAAACAGAAGAAATAACTTTAGGAGAACAAAAATAAGACAAAACCCATTATTATATATATTAACCAATAAATTATATAAATATGGTTAACATTATCTATATTTCATATATTTGATAATCACCAAATATATATTATCTATAAATCATAATACATAATATATACATTCTGATATATATTATTACAGCCAATGTATTTATTCAAACATACCTAGTTCCTGGTAACACTAAACAGATTAATGTGTCTTTTCACTGATTCTAACAACTCAGTTATAGTGGATTATAAATCACAGAATTATTATCTGCTAGTAATGACTCATCAAATATACTAAAAACAATTTTTCCTGAAAGCTCTTCACTTATGCTGGTTACTTTCTTTATACTTCTTAGCATCATGATAATAGCAAAGGCATTTTACAGATGTTCTTTTTCAGGATGTACTATCCAAATGCAAGGATAGATGAACTATTTTACTTGAAAGAATTTATGAAGTATCACTTAGATATAAATGAATGAAAGAAGGAGTAGGGATGTGACTAGAAGCTGGGGAAAACATTCCAATTATTTTAATGATCTAATCTCATGTTTTGCAAAAGACTTGACTCAGTGAAATACAGTACGGGCAAAAATCTAGAGGCAGAGAGATTAACACTGCAGTATGCAGCAAGCAGAGAAGTCCTCTAACAGACTTCACCCAGTACTCAAGAAAGAAACTAAGAGTCATCTCTGATTCCTCCTTCAGATCTCTTAGTTCCAAAGTCCCACTAGTTCTTTTTATTCTAGCATTTATTTTCCTTTCCATTTCCAGTGTGAAAATCTTACTTAAGTCCATTTTCCCTAATTTGGAACCATTACAATGACTCCTTAAGTTTTCTGAAAGGTGTTTTCTATACATAGCTAATGACAGATTTACTTTTAATTTTTCCTAAAGCAAAAACAACAACAAAATCATTTCAATTTTTACAGTCTAAGAAAAATAACTTATATGAGCACAGAACAAAAACCTAACACCCAAAAAGATCTTTAAATGTTTTATTTTTCAAGGATCTTTTAAAGTCTTAACCCTCTCTTACCTGTACTGGTATGGCACTGAATGTTCTTTTTTACCCTTCATCTAGACTCATATTCTCTCTCACCTAGGCAAGAGCCTCCTACCTGACCTACTCACATTCTGTCTTTCCCCTACAGCCTAACCAAATATCATCGCCTGAGTAATATTCCTCAAGCATATTCTGGATCTTGCCATTTCCTTGCTCAAAACCATCATGCCTACCTCACCATTCTTTTCGTCCACAGAGCAAGTCCCAGATTTTATTTGTCACTGAAGATTCTCTGTACTAAAGTCTCAATTAACTTTTCAGTCTCATTTCAGTAGTCAGACCCATACTAGACTACTGATCATTTCCAAAAACAAGCTTTGTGTTTTCCTACCTCTAAACTTTAGTTGATGGTATTCCCGCTGCATAAAATACCTTCCTTAATCATTACCGAAATTTTACCTATCCTTAAATCTCCATCTTAAAGGTCACCTATTCATAAAGCCTTTTTTGACATTTCTAGCTCAACTTTCTTGCCTGAATTTTGTGGGCCTTTTCTTGGCCTTTAGCGTCTGCTGCTTTAAACTATTAATATTTTGGTCCACATGCACCTCTACCAAAATGTAAGCTGCTTTAAACTATTAATATTTTGGTCTACATGCACCTCTACCAAACTGTAAGATTTCTCATAGTGCCTTGTGCTCCTCAGTTGTTCTACTTATAGATTATACAAATGACCAATCCATCCAGTATGAAATTGGCAAAACAACATCATTGAAAGTCATCTATTTTGGTTTTCCTCCAAATATGCACTACTTAGAGATTATTTCAAATCTATTTCTATGTGTTTATAAAATAGGCCCTTACCGATAATCTCTTTGCAAGGATTTTCAGGAGTGATGGGGACTCTGCAAGCTGGACACTGGCTATTATTCTTCAACCATAAATCGATACAAACTGAACAAAATACATGGTTGTTGATGCATATGACAGGCTGGCGCACCTTTGAAAAAAGAAACATTACTTTTAGCACAGGGCAACAGTCATAACTAGAATCCCAATAGGTTTAGTTAAGAGCAAGCAAACAAATTGCTTTTCTAGAACAGAGTAAGTGTAGACATAGGGTAGATGTTTTTGCCACCACAGTTTCTTAACTATTTTTAACAGAGATACTAGCTGAGATATCTGGTCATAGAGACTGAAACTTTTGACATATCATGGTTTTATTTTGTTCCAAACCACATTCATGGCCCAAAAGAAAGTGCATTTTGTTCCACTAAGGCTGAGACAATTTTCCTTCAACTATTCTATTTCAGAATTATGAAATGAGAATTAGAAGGCTCTTTAAAGATCATTTAGTCCAAACACCTATCTCATGCTTGAATCCTTCCCTCAATTCATTCTACTATATTACAGAGCAACAGTAACCAACAGTTAAAGCATACGCATCTTACTAGAGAGTCCCCTAAACCAGAGGCTTGAAAGCTAAAACAACTCTAAGAGTCCCACTCTCAAGTGGTATATAATTAAAGAGCAAACAACACTGAAATAAATATTAACACACACCAAATACACTCCATTTAAACAAGTACAAACAATAATACTTTACACTTATATAGTCATATTTTACAAAGGACCTTTACATGCATTTTATCTTCTTTGTGTGTTTTTTTGTGTGTCTATTTTTAAATAACACTGCAAGGTAAACAGAGTGAATATACTTTACAAACAAGGAAACCAAGGTGAGAAAAACTTAGATGGCTTCCTCAGGGTTAATTAGGTGTTTTGACTGTTTAGTTGTTTTATCAGACGGAAAATAAAAAAGAATTTGCTTTAGTTTTATAACTGATATGATACTTTGGTTGTTTACATATTTATTATCTATCTCCCCAGAAGGAAAATAGGAGAGAAGTTGCTTTAGTTTTCTACCTGGTATTATATGTTTGTTTACATATTAATTGTCTATCTCCCCCATTAAAATGGAAGCTCCAAGAATGAAAGAAGCTCCTCAGTTTCATTCATCCCTAAATCCTTGGTGCCTAGAAGACAGCTTAGTGTACAACAGGTACCTATTCAGTAAAGGTTTGCTGAATGAAGTAATTGCTATTAAGACAGTATTTAATATTCAATTAGTTGGGGGAACTCTACAGAGGGAATAATTAGTTAATATTCTTCAAACAGCACAAATTTAACAGTAAAAACAAAACCAAGAAAGAAATGCTTAGGCTTTCACTTGATTTACATGGTAATTTTACTGTGGGACTCAAAACACTTGGTGGCCATTTTCAATGTTTTTCTCCCTTAATAATAACCACAATGCTACTGTAGAATGCTTCTGACCTAGGGACCAGAAGATCAAGGGAAAGCAGAGAAAGCAAAAGGAGAAAGAAGAGACAAACCACTACACACCACTTTGCTCAGAGAAAACACCTGTGCAGCCCTATGTCCACCTCAGTATGTGAAAACTCAGAATATGAGTAGTCAGTCACCAATTTTAAAGGGGTCCCTACCCTCAAAGAAATCACAGACCTATGGCGATCCATATCAGGCAGGTAATCAGTTGAAGACTCACTACGAAGTGCTCTCCAGTCTTAGTCTGGCTTTCCAAACACATAGATGCTCCCTTGATTAAGAAGACTAGCATAAGAAAGCTAAACAGAGAAGATAATTCAGCACAGATTTAAACTTCCTCTTGGAGAAAGAATTTTAATTCATTCAGTTCAACTGATTTGATAGGACTAATTAAAATAAACAAATAAACAAAGTAAGACCATAAAGCACAGCTTCTGAAACTCTTCTTCTTCTTCCAAAGGACTCCTACCAACAGCCAGGAGTGAATGCTTATCTGGGAGTACAATATCGTGATTTATAAGAAATATATGTATTTGATAATTCAGATGACCTAAATATATTCTCCAGATATATTTGATCCACAGCTCCTGGCTCACAGCTCTCAAACCCCATGGAATTTTCTAAGTGATGGGAGCAACAATGGTGTCTCTTATGTTAATGAGGGGACTTTGGGATCTCACCCAAGGTGGGGGCTGGGTGCCAGGAGGAGCTAACTTTGTGGTTAGAGGATTGGAACTTTCAGTCCTACCCCCTGATTTCCAGGGCAGGGAGAGGGCTTGAGGTTGAATCAACTGCCAATGGCCAGTGAGTTAGTCAATCATGACTAGTAATGAAACCTCTTTTTCAGAGAACTTCCACATTGGAGAATGAGAATGCTTCCAAGGGCCACTGTGCCAGGTCTCAAGCTCCAAGAAGACAGACGCTCTTTTGTTTGAGTCCTTCCCTATGTATCTCTTCATCTGGCTGTTGATTCGTGTCCTTTACTATCCCCTGTAATAAATTGGTAAACTAGTGGGTAAATGGGTTTTCTTTAGTTCTGTAAGCTGTTCTAGCAAACTAATTGAACCCTGAGGAGGGAATTGTGGGAACCTCTGATTTACAGGCAATCAGAAGGACTGTTAATAATAACAAAAGAATTGCTAATATCATTAAAGGAAAAAAACATTATTATTAAAGGAGGAACAACCTGGGCTTGGGACTGGCTTCTGAAAAAGTGGAAGGCAATTGTGGGCCTAAGCTCTTTACCTGTGGAATCTGATTCTATCTCCCGGTAGATAGTGCCAGAATTCAGTTGATTTTTGGACACCCTACTGGCTTCTGAGAATTGCTTGCTGGTGGGGGCAGCCTCCATACACTAGATGCAACTAGCTCCAGGAACTTTCAGGGAGGAATTCCTCATCAGTCTCAAGAGGCAGACAAGCTTGGATTTTCTTTGCAGGTTCTGTTTTTTCCTAAAAATTCATTTGATTTGGAAGTCTAGACCATAATCTATTCACGTATGTTTTAATTTAATCTTTAAGTCATGAAATGTTTTAAGAACAAAAAAGTCTCAAACTAAGTATCAGGAAGATACTTGAACAACTTAGTGGTTGGTGCTAATATTAACTAAGGTGAGAAAGACAAGAGTAAGAGAAGGTCTAGCACATGGTAGAAATCAAGAATTCCGTTTGGGCCGTGTTAAATTTTTAATGCCAAACTGACTTTTAAGTGGACAAGGGAAGGTCTGAGAATCGCTGGCATAAAAAAAAAAAATGATGCCATTTAAATCCACAGGACCTGAAGAAAACCTCTGCATGGGCAGAACAGCTGGAGACAAGGCATTCCAGCAAGCAGAGGAAAAGGAGGAGCGATCAGCTAAAGGTGCTGAGAAGGAGGGGCCCATGTTGGAAGACAGGAGTACGGTCTCATAGAAGTCAAGAGAACAAAATTTTTCAAGAGGGAGACAGTGGCCAAATATGTCATATATTAGGGAGAGACTGTGTTTGATCTGGCTAGAGAAGTAACTATGGGATTTAACTGCATGGAAGTCAGTGTGATCTGTTACTGACAAGCATTGTTTCAGTAAATGGTGGGGATGGAAAGTTGATTGGAGGCTGAAAGACAAGAAGGTTGAAGAAGTGAAAAGAGATAATACAGACAATTCTTTCATGTTTTGCTGTATAGGAAAACATAAAAATGAGGCCATGGTAAGGAACGGCAATGGCAAAAAGAGGTTATTTATGGTGGAGGAAGAAAGGAGAGGGATTAGAGCCACAGCGAGCAAAGCTCCTAAGAAGTCAAGAGGGGAATGAGCTATAAAGCACAAGGGAGAAATTCTGGCTTATGTAGGAGTGAGGCTCTATCTTCTATTATAACAGGACGGAAGGCTGAGGGTATGAGAACTAACACAAAGGAGATGGAAGATCTGTTGATGGAAAGATTAGAGAACTCATGTTGCAACTGTTCCAACAGCCTATGTTTTGTCATTAAATATGATGAGGTTACCAGCTGAAAGTAAGAAGCCGAGACAGACATCAACTTGAAAAAATAGGAAAATAAAGTACTTATTTTGAAAAGTGAGAAAGTAAATGTACTAGGCACATGTAGCAGGATTGCCCAACACTGCTGAGTTCCTAGTCGAGGTCTGTGGTTTTGACAATAAAGTAAGACCAATTAACACAGGTGTGTAATTTTCCTACCAACTTTCAGCTGCTCAAGTTCAGACAGGAAGTAAATTAGTTGGGTTTACTCAGAGTTAGAGTTTTGCCAAAGAGGAAGAGTGAGACAAAGGAATGATGATAATAAATGACCGTGGCTAATAAGAGAAATGAGTACTTGAATGGTAACGACAGTGAAAAAAATGAGTCAGAGAGTGGGTCTGGGTAAGGCTGACATATTTCTGGAGAGCAGGTATGATGGGAAGAGGATCACAGACTGATATGCTTAGTCAAAATACTGGAGGTGGTACAGCTGCTCTCTCTAATGTTTTGTCCTTGGCCATCTTATGTGACATAGTTCTATTTCTCTCTTAACCTCTCATGTATCACATGGTGTTAACATCTTTTCTATGGTGACAGCTCCTGAAAATCCTCTGTAACTATAAGTGTGAAAGCTTAGGCATCAAGAGATAAACCAGGGGCCAGCTCCAGCTCCGCCACTTATTGAGCTGTTTGACTGAGTTGAGCCCTTTAGTTATAAGGGGCATCACTTTCCACCTCTGAGAATTGCAGTTTAACCTAGTATACTTTTCATTCAGGTGTTAGGATTTAATAGTGTAAAGATGTAAGCAAAGACTTTCACATAACAACTCTTCAACAAAAGAAAGAAAAGGTAACAATATTACTATATTCAGCTCAGGAACCAATTTCCTGTAAAGATCTCGCAGCTGCCTCAACCATAACATGTCCAAAACCAAACTTGGCCTCCTCCACATATTCGCTCCTCCTCCCACACTCCCTCTTGGCTAAGTTACCGGCACCACCACCTCTTCAGCACTTGGGCTCTATAGAATACTCAGAGCTGTATGAGACTCACCCTTAAAACTTTTCCTCACCATCTAACCTGTCACCAAATCTCGCTATCATTTATTGAGACTAAGCCAGAGATATTAAGATATACCAATATTTTCTGTACCATTAAGTAAAATGAATGAAAAATGCTGCAATTACAACTATAAGATGCCATCACTTATAAGATGCAACCAGATTTCAGAGATGTTATAACATGGAAAAAAAGTACATCCCCGAATAGTTGATATATGGCAAAGCTACCTCTAAATGTTCTTTTACCTATCAGCTATCCCTTCTTTTTCATCGTCACTTCAATAATGAGTTCAGGTTCTCATTCTTTTACTCCTAATCTACTGTAATCACCCCCCGCCCCCGCCCCCAAACTTCCTTGCTTCCAAATGTTCACTTCTGGCCACCTTTCGTATTGATGACAGAGCTACCTTCCTAAAAAATAGATTAGCAGCTTTTACTGCTCTTCTGCAAAACAGCAATGGTTTTCCTTGCTCATTGTTTTAAGTGCAGCAATCAAAGAGCAACATAATCTTGTTCTTAAACAGCCTTTTCCCTTAATCTGCTATTTCAATACTTGACATAACCTACAGTAACCACGCATATTCATTTTAGTGAATACTTGATGTTCACCAAAAAGAATATGAATAAGTAAGGCTCCCTGTTTATTTTGCTCTTGTTTCTTAGCTTGATTTGTCCTGTTGGCCTCCAGTTTCCCTAATCGAAATAAAATCCCTTATACCTTTCAAGATGAAAACCAAATACTATCTCCTCCATAAGGCCTTCATTAATCCTTTTTTAAAGTGACTGGGTCTTTGATCCTATGGGTACTCCTTAGGCATTAATTTAATGTTCACTATTTTCTGTGTGTGCTGTACTTAGAAAATAGTTTATACACTGCCTTCCCTATTAGATTCCAGGCTCCTTGGGGGCAGCAGCTATATCCTACTCATCTTTGTATGCACCTACAGCACCTGATACAATGCCTTGTGCACTCTGAGATTAATAAAAGTGAATTCTGATGTATTAAAATGAAAGGCTGAGATAATGCTTCTAAAGGTGTTTCAAGCAAAAGGTCAATGGCCAGTGCAAAAGAGTGAAAAAGCAAAACTTTAACCTTTCCATTTAATCTGTCAAAATGATAAAGAACAACCACATGCAGACTACTTGAATCTAAGAGCCATTAGCAATGCCGCATACAGCAAAATGATTTTCATTGTTCAATATCCAATATTGTCACTGTCATTGTGTTGGATTTTTGAAATGGTTGACCAATTCATTTCTTTGGACCAAGTAGTTATCAAATGATGATTTCTAGGTTTAAATTTAGGAGAATAGAAACCTATAAAAGAGAAAGAACTATTATACCAATTTATAGTACTCGTTATTTATTTGACTGTAAGCTACAGGGGCAAAATATAAAGAATCTAGCCTTCCCTCAATTGCTGTCCACCCATACTCTTCTACTTAGATCTTGCTATATACAACATCAAAACACACACAATTTTCTTTAATAAGATCTTCCCAAGATATCGAAATAGTTGTAATTTGCCTATGTTATGAGACTTTATAGCTAATTTAACTTCAAATGAGATCTGTGGCAATAAAACAGTACTCGTATAAAATAAAAATGCAAGATGACGATGGCAAGGGTAAGTGACAAGTACAATTCCAAACTCATCTGGAGAAAGCATGTTAAAGTGATATCCTAGGGTAATGCCCCCTGAAGCTAGTAAGGAGGAGAAGAGAAAGCAAGTGTAAAAGTGGCCTCTCCTCACTGGAATGAGCCTGAGGGGAGCAGTCCTAGGTGCAGAAAGATTAATCCTATAACCTGTAATTCTTTGTCCTTTCATAAAACTGTGGGCCACATTTGGCTGTCACTCGTGGCAAAACACAAATACAGTTAATAAAAGTATTACATGCAACAACAATTTGGTTTCACAGCTTGAATCCTAACTGAAGAGATAAATACCTGGAATTATCTAGAGATAACCTGGTCTGTAGCATTCTGGTGGCAGTACCAAAATGCCACTTAACAGATATCCTGGGCTAGATCATTCCTTTATTTCTGCTGGCCCACTAGTCCAAGGCATGGGGTAAAAATTAAGGAGAAACAGACAAGAAAATGTTATACATAAATCATCCCACAAGACCTGTACCTAACTTCCTCAGGCCACACAGAGCTCTTTCTTACAACATTGGCAAGGTTGCTAAACATTAATGGGCAGAAAATTCACCTTTAAGACTGAAGTAGAATAGAGGTAGTAAATGCCAAATGCCTAATTTCCAATTTTAAGTACAACATTTGTATCCAAAAGACAAAGCACTGACTCTGTGCATACTTACACTATCACCACTTCTTTCCTCTCTATTCTTCCCCACCCCTATCAGTATCTATATCCTCTTCAGGTTCAATGTCTCCTCCACAGCCTCTCTTTTAATGCAATACATACCCCCACCCCCCGCCCCC